TGCTTTGTAAGCTATGTCTTTGGGCAAATTACTTCTCTAGGCTTTTGTTTCCCAGTCTACACAAATGAGACAAACTCATGGTTATGTGGACTAAGTAAAAAGTTGTAGGTACAAAGCTCTCTCCCTGGTGCTGGTAGTGGGGTGTGCTCACTAATTTCTAGCCATTGCTATTGTTATTCTCTGAGTGCTGAAACACTTTCATGAATGCTGTTTCACCTGATCTTTTGCAAAAGGACTGTACATGTTTTAATTAATTTAATCTTCTATATAGTTTTATTAAGAACACACTCTTTTGGCCTCAATTAAGAGTTAGCCATATAATTAATAAGTGATAGAGACAAGATTTAAAGAGAGTCTGGTTTCAGAGAACACTCTCTTGATCACTGTATAGAAATATTATTCCAACCCAGAGTGTAGGCTCTTCTGGTCTTACCCTTCCTATGAGAGAGGGGTTATTGTCTCCACTTCATAAATGAAAGCAGTGAGAATCAGAGCAATTAACTGAGCTGACAAGTCATAGGATCACTGAAGAGGGAATTCTGGTCTCTTGGCTCCAGTGGCAGTGCTTGGGAGTGCCAGAATGAATAGCACAGTATCACACACAACAGCAGCAATAGCAGCGGTGCCCGCAGCAAGTACAATGACACATTTCCTACACACTTGCTCTCATTTAACACACACAACAATTATGGTCTCTGGGTTCTATCACCAACTCCATTTCAGATGAGGGGACCAAAGTTCAGCCGGATCAAGGAAGGTGTTCAGGGGCATAGAGCTAGGGAGTAATGGAGTTGGGTGTCCCCTTGGTCTACCATGCCCAAGCTGTGCCTCAGCTTCTGTGCTGCCATCTCCTGTGGCACTTAAGCAGAACCCCTAAAAACAACTGGCAGCACTTGCCTGATCAATGTAGCCAGCAGAAGGAGGACAACTTATTTTTCATAGATTTTTTTGGGATTTTTCTGTGCATATAATCATGCTGCCTAAAAAAGGAGACAGTTTCATTTCTTATTTTCCAATGAGCATGACCTTTATTCCCTTTTCCTGCCTTATTGCAGTGGCTAGAACTTCCAGTACCGTGTTTAATAAGACTGATAAAAGTAGAAATCTTTGCCTTGTTTTGGATCGTATAAGGCAATGTATTCTGTCTTTATCATGACATATGATGTCTGATGTAGTTTTTTAATAGATGTTCTTTATGAGGTTGAGGAAGTCTCCCTCTGTTCCTAGTGTACTTGAGAGGATTTTCTGTTTTCATCATTAATGGGTGTTGAATTTTGTTAAATAATTTTTTGATGCCAATTGTTATGATTATATAGTTTTTCTTCTTTAGCCTGTTGCTATGATAAATTATATTAATTTCTTATCAAATATTGAATCAGCTTTGTCTACCTGGCATAAATCTCACTTGGTCATGGTGTTTTAGTCTTTTTATACATTGTTGGATTTTGATTAATTAAATTTCATTGGTGATTTTTACATCCAAAGTTCATGAGAGATATTGGCCTGTAGCTTTCTTTTTGCATACTTTCTTCAGCTGATTTGGGTATCGGAGTAATGATGGCTTCATAAAAAGAATTGGGAACTTCCTAATTTTCTCTTCTCTCGTATTTTCTGGAACACATACATAGAATTGGCATTAATCTTTATTTGAATGTTTGGTGAAATTCTTGGATGAAATCATCTGGGTCTGGAGATTTCTTTTTTGGGAGTATTTTTATTATAAATCCAATTTTTAAAAATATCTACACAGTTATTCAGATTATCTATTTTACCTTGGCTAAGTTTTAGTACTTTGTGGTTTTTGAGGAATTATCCCATTTCTTTGAACTTGTTGAATATATGAGCATAAAGTTGATTATAGTTCTTAAATTATCTTTTTAGTAGCTAAAGACACCTATTGTGGTGTCCCCTATTTTGTTTCTGATGTTGGTGATTCATGTCTTTTCTCTTTTTATATTTGCCAATCTTGCTAAAAGTTATTAATCTTATTAATTCTTTTAAAGAATCAACTTTCTGTTTTATTTTTTCTTTTTCCAGTTTTCAAGTTCATTAATTTCTGCTTTTTATTTCCTCCTTTCTGCTTCCTTTGAGTTTATTTTGCTCAACTTTTCTAATTTCTTGAAGTAGAAACTTAGATTAGTAATTTGAGATCATTCCTCTTTTCTAACGTAAGCATTTACTCCTATCAATTTTATTCTCAGCACTGCTTTAGCTAATCTTACAAATTTTAACATGTTGTATTTTCATTTTCATTCTTTTCTTGTCTTTTTAAAATTTCCTGTGAGGTTGCCACTTTGATGTATGGATTATTTAGAAGTTTGTTGTTTAGTTTCCAAGTGTTTGGAGATTTGCCTATTGACTTTCTGCCTTGATTTCTACTTTGATTTTATTATGGCCAGGTAACATAGCCTGTATAATTTCAATTCTCTTGAATTTTTTAACATTTGTTTTATGATCTAGGATATGCTGTATCTTGGTAAATGTCTCACGGGACCTTTAAAAAATGTGTATTCTGCTGTTGTTGGACAGACTGTGCTATGAATGTCAATTAGATCCTGTCAGTTGATGGTGTGGTTAAGTTTTTCTATATTCTTGCTGATTTTCTTGCTAGTAGTCCTAGAAGTCCTGAGTGCAGGGAGACAGCAGGGATTGATGCCCAACCACACTTGTGGATTTCTTCTTTCAGCTGTCTTAGTTTTTGCCGCAGACATGTGAAAGTCTGTTGTTTAGGTTCATAGGTACGTAGAGAAAATGCTCACTAACTGTGTTTTTCTTTTACTATCACACCACAATCTTCACACAGAAGAAAGGCCCAGTGACTCACGGGAAACTACTGTATTAAAAACTTGGAGCTAATGTTTTAAATTAATCAGAAAAAAATACAAAAGTCAGAACACTGCACCAACAGATAGAGCCCTGTGCCTTTATAAAAGAAAAAAAAAAATACTGTTCTATACCCTTTCCCTCACCTTAAAGATAATCCTCTGGTTTTCTCTTAAGTAACCAGAGAGTGGATACCCCACCTCACAAAACAAACAGTCCTATTTGCTGAATATCTTTTGTCTTAAAGATACAGCTCGGGAAAAAGTAGACTGCATTTAACACAATTTATGTCATTCCTTTTTTGTGCTTTGTATGACATGAAGAAAGGTTTCTGTGTTGATGACTGTCATGATGTGACAGTAGAAGAAAAACACAGTTAGGGAGAGTTTTCTCCACATATCTGTGAACCAAACAACAGACTGTCACATATGTGAAGCAAAAACTAAGACAGCTGAAAGAAGAAATCCACAATTGTGGTTGGGGCATCAACTCCTGCCATCTCCCCACACTTAAGACTGCTAGGCCTCCTAGGGAGAAAATCCACTAGAATATAACAGCGGACACCGGTTGGGTGTCCTCCAATTCAGTTCTGACACTATCTACCCAGAGAGACAGTCAGATCCCACAGGTTGAAGGTTCAGCCCCCAAGACTGCCCCCATACACACACCAGTTGTAAGTCTGGCCCCCCAGAACCTCTGACCCCACCAGCTTCAAGGTGGGGTTCCCATGACCCCCTCTTTGGGTTTGATTAATTTGCTGGAGCAGCTCACAGAACTCAGAGAAACACTTACCTATGTTTACAGATTTATTACTAAAAAATACTGCAAAGGAGACAGATGAAGAGATGCCTAGGGTGAGGTACGGGGAAAGGGTCACGGAGCTTCCATGCCCTCCCTGGGAGCACCACTCTCCAGGAACCTCCACATGTTCAGCTATCTGGAAGCTTATGAACCCTGTCCTCTTGGCTTTTTATGGAAGCTTCATGATGTCAGCATTCCTTCCCCCAGGATATAGAATGGGACTGCCTTGTGGGAGGGTCTTAAGATCCACAATCAGAAAGGCAGAAAGGTGGGAGAACATTAGAGTGAAAGGAAGGCAGGAGAAGGTCAGAGGCCTGCCCCGAGGCCTAACACTCCCAACAATCTTGTAAGACTCTAACACAGGATATGGGAGTTATGAGCTAGGACCCATGGATGAAAACCAAAATGTATCATAACATCACAACAGGATAGCTATATCTTCTTGGTGAATTCATTCTTTTTGTTATGATGTAATTTCCCTCTTTGCCTATAGTAACTATTTGCTCTGGAGTCTGCTTTTTCTGATGTTAATATAGCCACTTGTGCTTCCTTCTGATTAATGTTTGCATGTTATATCTTTTTCCATCAATTTGCTATCAGTCTACCTATATCATTGAATTTGAAGTGAGTTTCTTGTAAACAACACATAGCTGGGTCATGTTTTGTAATACACTCTGCCAATCTCTGCATTTTTAATTGATGCATTTAGAATATTTACATTTAAGATAATTGATATATTAGGGCTAAGTCTGATATTTTATTATTAATATTTGTTCTCTGATCCTTCTGTTTATCATGTTTTTGTTTCTTTTTTCTTGCCTTCCTGTTGTTTACTTGGACATTTTTTAGTGTTTCATTTTGATTTAATTGTGATTTTTTTTTTTTCAGCATATCACGTTTGTTGTTTCCTTAGTGCTTATTATGTTTGGAAACTCTGTAGATGGGCAGCCTTCCATGATGGGGAGGAAGCTGCAGAGCCCGGGTCTCTTTATGCCACTGGATGGAGTCTGGGGAGACACAGCGCGCTTCACAGTGGCTGCTTCTGTGGGTGAATCAGGTCATGTGCTGGTGTCTAAGTCGTGGACTGGGGGCCAGGACCGCCCAGGGCTTTGCTGCTACTACTATTGCTGCTGCTGCTGCTGCTGCTGCTGCTGGCAGATGAATCTTTCTGCAAAGACCCTGGGTTGTACAAAACAGGGGCTAGAGCTTCCTACTGGGTCTCTGTTGGGGTTCCCCTTCCCTGAACTTTGGCCAAAGAGAACAGGATGTTCTTGGGGGTTTTGTTGTTGTTTTGTTGTCATTTTGTCTGTGCCTGCTGGTGATTCCAGCACAGCCCAGGGTATACGGGAGACGAAAAGGAAACTTAGAAAACTTACCATGTTGCTGTTTCTCAAGTCCTGAGGTTTCTTGCAAGTACACCTTCTTTTCTTCTAGCTTTCAGAGTTCTTTATCATTGTCTGCTGAATAGTTTCCAAGGTACTTAGCTGTATTTAGAGGAGCAGAGCGGGGAAAAATGAGTTTAATCATCTTGTTCCAGAACTGGAAGTCGGCAGAGCCTGTTTTAAAAATAATGTTTAAAACAAATTTTATTTCCTGGGTGATTTTCCAGAAAGCAGAAAAAGTACTATCAATGGCACTTCCTGTAATAAAAACTACACCCTATGCTTTCTTGGAAGGAATCAATTGCGTTATTCAACAGTCATCTTCCTCTGAACCTGCTCTGCATTTAGTCAACAGGATATTGAATTCCTTTTAAAAACCTAAACAGGTTATCACTTCTTTCCTGAACCAAAAGTTGATTGGTAATGTAAATACTTATCTGTAACACAGAAAACTGTGTTTTCTTTGAGCTCTTCCTATTCCGTATCCCTTGTCTTGAATGAGGAGGTTTTCCTTTGGCACCGAAAGGTTACAACTACATTTATCTACAAATAAACTACCATAGAAGAACTGGAACTTTCCTAATTATCAAAGTTCAGCTGCACTAATAAAGCCTTCTTATATCTGTGTTCTACTCGTTTCTTGTCTTGGACCCTTGCCTGACACAGATAGGATGGGCTTTCAGCCCAGTGACTCACGGGAAACTACTATATTAAAAACTTGGAGCTAATGTTTTAAATTAACCAGAAAAAAACACAAAAGGCAGAACACTGCACCAACAGATACAGCCCTACCCCTTTATAAAAGGAAAAAAAAAATACTACCTTCTATACACTTTCCTTCACCACAGAGATAATCCTCTGGTTTTCTCTCAAGTAACCAGAGAGTGGACCCTCCCCCAAAACACACGTTCAATTTGTTAAATATCTTTTGTCTTAAAGATATAGCTCAGGAAAAAGTAGACTGCACTTAACATGATTTATGTCATTCTTTTTTTGTGTGCCTTATATGATATATCATGACTTGGAAAACTCCTATAAATATGTAAAATATTAGAATGTATAGCAAAAAATGGTCAGTTTACATTATTTTTGGCTTGTCTCAGTACAAAGACTAATGAGGTAAAATTGAATATTTATATTCTTAAGATAAAATTGAATGTTCTAATGTGAAGTAACACATTTTCAAGTACGTTGTTTTTTCTGAAATCCCTTTATCACCACTAACTCTATCTTTAAAAAAAAAAAAAAAAAGTTCACAACATGTACCATTTTCTGGCTCTACATGAAAAGTCTATTGCTTGAGTGCAGGGTTAAAAAGAAGCCAGTAAGTTAACATGTTATATTTGACATGGGAGCTGTTCACTCCAAATTTTAAGAAAAGCCAGAAAAGTCATGTACAGGCAACCAACCAGAGTGTTAAAATGACTTTTTTTTTTAATTGTTAAAAAATCTGTACAGAAGTACTTTTTTTTTAATTTGTAAAAGTAGAAGCAATTTGAGTCATTTTAATTTACAGCATGAATGGAAGACTCTCGAAGTCATCTATAACCTCAGCAGAAAATGTGATTATAAAAGTTTACAAAAACCCCAGTTCCCCAGAGAGCTATGAAATGAGCAGAGTGCAGAGCATATTCTATCAGTCTCTTGAAATATTATTTGCCCTCTTAACTGATAAGGCAATGGAGGAAGAAAGTAAGAATGTAATAAAAATATGAAAAAGTGACTACCTTTGCCTGCCTTCAACAAAGCTAACTTTAAATAAGATAAGAATAATGAACAAATCAGCTAACAAAGAAAACAGCTTTTCCCCTAGTTTCTTTTGAAGTGAATCTCCCTTTACTTTTTTTAAATTTTGGGGGATCCTACAAATTAAGGCTTCCTTGGAAATGAATGCGTTTTTTATAATTTCAAGACTCAAAAGATAAACAAAGCAGTCTGTTTTTCTTCTCTCACCCACCCCAACCCTGTAAATAACCCCAGGCCACAGCCTGGGTCTCCCTCTGTTCTCTGTCTATCAGGGGCTTTAGAGCTGGGGAGGTCAGTGGGGGAAGGATGGGGAGAGGGGGAGGTGGGAAAAGGAGGGAGAAAGGGAGAATAAGTGGGGCGGGCTCATCTCAGAGTGAACCCCGGCTGTAGCCGCGTGCAGGATGTCACACGCGTGCCTGCACACGCAAAATGTACACAGTGAAACCAGGCAATAGAACTATTAAAAAAAAAAAAAAAGACTGAAAGAAAGAAAGAAAATGTACTGCTACATCAGCTAAAAACAGTCGTGTTCTTTCCTGGTTTGATGTCAGCTCCCAGTACTGGCTTGGAATTGCCCACAGCAATATTGGGCCCCTGCCCACTCAGCAGGCAGACAGCTTTCCCTGCCAGCAACAGGCTTTTAATAAAACAGGATGCTGTCCCACTACTAAGGCCCAGCCTGAGAATGGATCCCAGTCCATGTGAACTCCCTCTCCAAGAAACAGCAGTCCTGTGTTCCTTATCAGGAAACCCCGCTTTGGCGTTCCTGGCCTGGGAGAAAGGCCCCTCTCCCAGGGGCTTGCTCAGCAAGTGTTTGCAGGCAGCCGCTGGCCCCTGGAGCTGTCTGCTCTGCAAGGTTCTCACCACCGTGAGCTTGCTCCCGCAGGGACTTCTAATTCTGTGCATGCATTTCAGCTTTGAGGAAGGCTCTGTCTGACTCCGACAGTCAAGCAGGATGGGATTTAAAATAAGGAGCTGGCTTCCACAGGCAGGATGAGGACGTTTCGCCTCTGTTCCTGCAGCAATTCCCAATGAGTCATGCCAGGACTGCACTTGAACTGACTTCTCGTCTTAAGTGTGAGGAGTTTTATCATTTTGGGGAGGCTCACCCGTCTATTTGTTTACTTCTCATTTGGAATGAAACGGAGTATGTTCCATTTGGAGCAGCAATTTCTAATTTTTTTCCGGCTGCAGTTTGACAGAAAGTCCAAACTGAGGAGTGAGATTCCACGGCACCTTCCAAACCCTGGGGCTCCGTGGCTGCAGAGCCCAGGACCACCCTTCCTTGGCTGTATACCACCCTCTTGTCCTAGGGAAGAAGAACTGTGATTCTGAAAGTTGTCCCAGAGGACTAGCCCCAGTCCCACAGGCACTAGCAGGATCCCTTTCATGCCACACCGTCGTGTACAGAGGTGGCCGAGTATAGCACTGACATCACAGACCGGGAGACACACATGCCGTCAGGAAGCGGACATAGATGACATCCTATGACAGTGAATTCCAGTGGGAAGAGAAGTCAATGTTGTTGATAGAGAAGGCTGGACAACCTGGATTCTACCCCCAAATCTGCCCTGGCTTCCTGTGTGTCCTTAGACAACATGATAGATGTGTGACTCAGTGTCCCCATTTTGTAAAGTACACAGCAGGTTGTTGGAGGACGGGCAAACAACCAGCTCATATGCTGTCACTCTCCCTTCCCCCATCCACGCAGACACTGGGAATCACTCCCAGCACTTTTCTTCCTGTGCCCAGATGTGACAACTCAGCCAGCCACAGCCAAACGATCAGAGACAGCACCGGAGTGAAGGCTAGTGATGGTTTCTAAGGCTTCTTCCAACTCTGATCAGCCATAAGTCCCAGTCTAAGCCCAATACATTTCTGTTTACTTTGAAGTTCTGGGGAGGAAATTGGAGGAATTGGTGTTACAGGTGGTGTTTTCATTCCTTCTCTCACTTGAAGTTTGTGAGTTTGGAAAAGAAAAGGAGAAAGAGGAAGTATATGGAGGGAACATCTGGGCATGTAGATGGTGTCACAGTGGAGAATTTTGTCTCCTGGACTGCAGCCCAGATCCACCTCAGAACAGCGGGGGCCTGGCAGGAAGCAGGATGTGCTGGCCCAAAGCTGGGAAGAGCAGAGCATGCTGCAGGAGGCCAGCCTGTGAGACCAGAAAAAGTGCAATCGGTAACTTCAGAAGGAGGAGTGAAAAGAGCCCAAGTAAATCTACACAGCCAGGGAAGATGAAGCACAGCACAGGAATATGAGCTAGGACTCCTGAAAGCAGAAGGAATGTCTCTTGCTGACTCAAGCAGAGAAGGGAATGAATTGGAAGCTATGAAGGAGCTTGTGAGGTCAACAGGGGTGCTGGATTCTGAGCTGGAGAACCAGGTTCAGCTGGGACAAGAGTGTGCCACCGTCAAGCACCTCTGCAGGGAACAAACAGCCTGCTGTCCCTCCTCCTGAGACCACCCAGCTCAGCTCAGCTCAGCTCAGGACCTCCCTGGGGCAAGGGAGGAAACACTGTGGACACCTTTCCACTTCCACGCAGGGGGAAAAGCACCCGGATTTACCATGAAGACGGTGCCCAGTGAGAGAGCTAGTGCCACAAAAGGACATCGAATTGGGGAAAGAAGAGGCAGTGGATTGATTCCAGGCTGCTGAAAAAGCAATGCCCAGCACTGTGTATAACACGGAGGTGTCACACACAACCACAGCAAGTAACCAGACTAGGTCAAGAGTCAGAGCAGTTAGCAAGCAAACATAAAATCCAATCCAGCAGGCCTGCGGGACAAAGTTAGGAGTAACTCCAAGGTCAGTTGCCAGGTGTGGAAACCCATATGGGAGGCTCGGTGGGGTCAGAGGGTAAAGACAAGGCGGATTAATTACCAGCTCTCAGGAGCGAGCTGAGTGGAGCACATGGAGGAGTGCAGAGGATGTCACAGACAAGAGTCAAGGTCAGGAATGTCCAGACCGAGATGAATGAGGGAGTAAAAGCAGGCACCTGTGCACAGGGCTCGGGGTTACCCATCTCAATTCTGGTGGGGTCTCCCTTGATAGAAAAGAGCTGCATTGAAAGGCCGAGCTGCCCCTTAGCTACAGAGTGGAGGAAGTGTCCAGTTTGTGTCAGCAATATCACTAGCAGTCAGGAAGGCTCATGTGCTCTCTTCTCTGGGAAAGCAAGTCTTCCAAATTCAGTTTGGCAGAGCACCAGTTTGCTGGGATGGGAGCCAAACCTAAGCACTGGGGTCCTGCTCCCCACCATGGCTCTGCCAAGCTGGAGGCTGCTGCTGTGCCACCTCCTCCTTCCACACAGAGCATCAGAGGAGCCAGATAGACAGATTCTGAGTCCTGGAGACATTACCAGGGATGTGAACCCAGCTGTGCCGAAAGCCAGGTCTACCTTTGGCCGTTGCTTGATGGTAAGTCCTAGG